AGCCCCATATACGTTTTATTTTTCAGAACTCTCTGCTTTTCAACTACACGCCGGTCCGCCGAAGCAACAGGATGCGTGTCAGCGTCGACTCTTCGCCGACGGACGCGTTGCGCGGGTGAGCGCTTTCAAAGGGATACTAGCATCGAAATTCGGGGGCTGATAGCGAAGTTTCCCCATTTGTTCAATAAGTTCAATTTTCGAGTAATTTTCACATTCAATTTTATCCGGGCTGCCAAAACTGTAGCTACTTTTTTACGCACGATCTTACGATTTTTATCTTTTTAATCCTCCCATTATAGAGCTCTACTTTTCAGCTCTGTCGACAGCAACGACGCCTCGTCGTCGGGCAGCGCCAGCCCGTCCCGAGCCCAATCGCAGTAAGTTTTGCTCGAAAATAACGTTACTAACAAGGTTTACGGAATTTTCGCAAAAATTCCACAGATTTTGTATATTTCATCACAATTTCAGGCGCTCTCCCTCCATCCCGTCGATCAACATCCAGGACAGCGATGCCGAGAACCGATGCGTGCAGCCGATGCAGCACGAGAAGGTACAACCAAGTCCCGTTTGCGTTTAATATACCTCTTTAGTTATGCTCCATCTCACAGTCACCCGTCGCCCATCTCGGCAGATTCCGCAACGGGCAGACAGCGAACACGCCACTCTTCCACCGTCGCCTCGAAGAGCTCGGCGTGACGAAGGCCACCGAGGGACAGGTGCGCTCAAATTTTGGCGTTAAAATGTAGGAAAAAATAACTTTACTGTACCCCCTCCCCCGAGCTGGACGTCCCCAAAATTTTTTGAGATTTTCGCTTTCTGTCTGATGTTTGACTACGCGATTCGATAGAGCACCAAAGAATACGCGACAGGTTGTGATTACAGCCCGAAATAACGCAATCTAAAAAAGTTATAGCCAAAAACCTTGGAAATCACAAAGTGTAGGTCATGGGCCCTAGTCAGGGCGAGAGCTGAAAGCCGCCAAGCGGTTTTGTAATGCCGGTTTTTTTGGCTTTAAAAATGTTCCCATACAATGTCCAAACGTTTTTTTCAGGATTCCATGTCGCCGGAAGCTCGCCGCCTGGCCGCTCAGCGTTTCCCGTCAATGGAGCGCCTTCGGCAGTCGATGCAGAATCTGTCGTCGACCGAGGATCCGGCCAAGAATCGCCCCGTCTCTCCCCACCTCGACCAGTTCAAGAGCCGGGTAAGCCGTTTGCCATTATCTTTTAACCCTCCGAATCCCTTGCAGCAATTTTCCTTTTCCCTCGATTACCAAACGAACAATAATGAGGTAACGCTGCGTGCATATAGTATTGTGGTGTATGGATTATGGGTTCTTTCGCGTTATCGGTGGGGGATCGAACTTTTTTGTAGATGTTAGAAATGTCTAGTAATTGATTAGGACGTGCTTTAATAGTGTTTTTAGTAAACAAAACCAGGGTTGAAAAGCCGCTTCGCGACTTTTCAACCCTGGCCCCGTCTGATCGCATGATATACTTCACTTTGCATAATTCTTTCATTTCCGATGACAAAAAATGAAAACTGCGCTCGCTAGCCAATTATATAGGCTACCGGAACTCCGGCGCATGCTAATTTTTTCCTAACAAAGAGGATCGACGATTTTCCAATAAAAACTTAAAGTTTAATGTCGAAAATAAACAATTTTGATAAATCTGATCTGCGTGCAGTCATCTCAGGGCCATTACGCACCTAATGACGTATCGTACGTAGCCTAATACCCTTCCCCTCTTGAGATATCCTCCGGACAGAATGACGGAAGTTGCATGCAAAGTGGCACAGACACACACACACACACAAACACTATTTTTTTATATATAGTAGGATACCTGTATTTCAACTAGAAGAACTAGCAAAACTTGTCGAAAGCTTTGAAAAAGTCGAAATTTTCGTCTAATCGGCTATTTTGGTTGGAAAAATCTATATTTTTAACATTTGAATTTTTGTTTCATTTGAAAGTTTTCAAGCTTAGGGTTAGTAAAAACCGGTGAAAAACACTGCCACTATTGCAAAGTTGATCCCAAGAAAACACAACTGGTCCACCCGATAATGCGAAAGAACCGGATTTTGTTAGTTTTTCGTTCCAGTCTCGGGCTATAACACGAATGACTTCTGTTGTGTGGTGGATTGTTTTTGGACGCAAATAGGGAAAAGCTGGGCGTTGAAAATTACTTGATTTGTAGGGTTTTTCGTCCTGGCCTAACCAACATTGAACCCATATCTAACCCCGTCGTTCCGGCGATTAGCTAATCGAGTTTTTGGGCGCATGGTCAGGTTGTGACTGTAAGCCGCTTCAAAGTTGCGGTCACATTTTTTGGGCGGCGCGAACGCGTTTTGAGGAATCTTACGGATTATGGTTCGAATTGACCGCGTCTCCGCGGCGCTTGCGACAAAAATGACCATAAACTTTGGCAGAAATTAAAAGGGGGCTTTACTTCATCAATTATAGGCGTTTATGTTTTTGTTTTGCACTCACCCGGTGGTGTCGCAACTTGCAGAGCAATTTTTTTCGCAAAGACGAGCACTTATTCTGATTTTTAGGCGCCCCAGTACCGCTCGTTCACGATGAAGAACAACGCCGCCAAGCAGCAGGATTTGCTGGCCAGGCTGAAGGCGATGCGGGAGCGATTGCAGGAGAAGGAGAACTTCCAGGTGCGTTTTGCAGTGCTAAATTTTTGTAGCAACCGCTTTTTGTCTTATTTTGTAGTAGGTTTCTGCACTAGAAGCGCTACTAAGAAGATACCCGGTTCTTTGGCAAGATTGGGGCGGATTCAATTTATTAGCGTACAGAAATAGCGGCAATGTTTATAGGATGTTGTTAGCTATTTCCAAATGTAAAAACTTTAGACATTTTTATTGAAAAAACCAGCGCCCAAAACCCGCTTCGAGGGCCTTGGGCGCTGGAATGCGGTTTTTGCATGATAAATTTGACTTTCCGATCACTCGCGTGCTTCGGACCCTTCCCCCCACCGGCCACACACGCGAGTGCAACTGGCAAGAATGAGGAAATTTGTATTTTGCGCATTATGCAAATTAGCCCTCAGGGACCCCCAAAAATGAATAAAACCGGCCTTAACTTTGTAAACTTGTATTTTATCGAAATTCTGAAAACGCCATCGGAAACAGAAGGGTCGATTCCCCCGGGTGACGAAGAATTAGGGCATTTTATGCACAGGAAGGCCCTCAAATCGGGCCTCGAAAGTGGCATCCACACACACACACACATACGCGCCAAAATTATATAAGGTAGGATATAAAAAACCCGATTTTTCGACCAAATCTGACCGATTTTCGACCACAAATAGATTCTCCAAAACACCAAACTCACCACGGTTTATGAGCAAACCCGAGCCAATTTATCCGCAAATTTCAGGACAAGATGAGCCCAATCTCGCGCCACAGCAGCAATTCCTCGATTCGCTCACCGCAGAAGACATAAGACTACTCGCTCCACCACTGACCCTGTCCCCGCTCGGCATTCCAACATTTCCTCTCGTCGTGTGCACCGGCAATAGTGTTCAATCCTTTCAAAAATACTAAAGTAAAAATCACTTTCTAGAAATAAACATTAAACATACTTTACTTTTGCTTAATTCACTCGACTACATATTTTCAAAAGCTGCTTTCTTGTCTTGGCCTTCTCGTTTTGATGCCCTCGCCCATGCCCAGTATTTCCACCCCGTCCTGCCTCTCTGTTTTCTGCAACCTGATGAGCATATTTCCACACTTGCGAATTTCGATAACTAATTGTATATACTAGTTTATACGCCGGATAGCCGGAGCCCCGTCGCCAAGTATCTTATTTCTTCTCGCATATCCCGGACCCCACTCGAGAATGGGGACCACTTCCCCCATACGCCCAATATTTCGAACCAGCATTCACTACGGTTTATCGGCAATGTATCTTTGACTTTCCCCGAACTGATCCTTTGCACCCTTTAATAAATGATTGATGGCTGTGCAGGAATTTACCGGATACAGTTTTTACACCAAAAATACATCGAACCGTAGACGGACAGCATTTTGGCCGACGGGAAACGTTCTTTTGCCGGAAATGCTTGATTTTTTTTTTGTTTTCCACACTTTTCTTCAAAAGACCGAAAAACCTTTCCCGGCCCGGCCATTCGCTTTTGCCGCCACTTTGCCTTTTGCAAAACGCCTTCGCTCCGCAGCTGCGCAAAAACCCTAACTTTAGGCATGTTCCTCACCTCACTTTTGCAAAGAGTCTCACCAGATGGGGATTACCCGGCTTTTCTTGTCGAGTTCTTTGTGGTGTTGCAGGTGTGTGCGTTTCGCTGAAAGCCTAATTGCTTGTTTTCCGGTCCACTTCCTCGCCGCCCTCTACCTCGTCAAGGAGTTCTACTTCTGGGCCCGGCATTATGGACGATGGTGTCGTATATGGTCAGAAGTGAGTTGATTATTCATTCAGTAAGCAGCGAATGTTTAGTTCAACCAATCCTACTTCAACAACCGCGCGAGCAAGGTGGCACTTTTGACGGGCGGTGACGGGACGATTGGACGCGAGGTTTTTTCGGGCCTAACCTATGAAAGTCCGATTCCAGTTGGTCAAAATACTCTTGGCACGCGGCTGGACGATCCACATCGTCACGTCGGATCGATTGAAAGCAACAACAGCGCTGATCGTCGACCAAGTGCCACATTCGAGCGACACAAAGCTGGCCCTGCACGAGTGTGACTTGCGCGATTTAAAGGCGGCACGTTTTTATGTGACCCGGAAATGGGAAGGAGCCTAGCGCTTGGTTTTTTACATTGATCTCCACTATTATTGCAAGAAACTCCTCTTGGAAACTCTATACTTTACGCTTTTCAGGTGGCCAACTTTGCCCAGACATTCAAGGACAAGAATCGGCAGATCGATCTTTTCATTGGCAACGCAGGTGTGCTGCATCCGAGGGATTCGGTAACCTTCCTCTCCATCCCTTATGTCTCTTCTTTAGTGGACCGATCATGCCGCAGTTGATGGGATGAACGTGAACGTCGTTGCCCATGCTGCGCTAATCGAGGTGGGCTTATTTTTCTAGGCTTTCACTAGGCGTAAATTTCAGATACTGCGCCCAGTGCTCGCCCGGGACCATCGAGTGTTGCTTATGGGCTCATGTTGTAGCCATGCCTGCCTGGCGACGAATCGAATCAAGACTGGTATTTTTGTTTTGCTATGAATATTTGAGAAAAAAAAACTCTAGATTCCTCCTTCCTCTACGACGCTCATGGTCCGTATCAAGCCTACGCGTTCTCGAAGTTGCTGCTTGCCGTCTACGGCGAGATGCATGCGCAGTAAGGTTTTGCCATATTTTGCGGTAACCTAATCTTCCTTCTCAGGTCGATGCACATCACCCATCCGGGCGCTACCCTCTGCGTCGTCCACCCGGGCGTCGTGCCGAGCGCCTTGTATCGAAAGACGAATCCGTTAACCCGTCTCGCCATTGGGTATATGCTGCCGTTGATCGCGAGGTATTGCACTTCGACTCTAAAATGTCGCGTTTCACTCTTTCAGGAGCGCTGAGGATGCGGCCATTCTTTCCCTGCATACGGCTTTTCGCGAAGACGTCAAAAGTGGCCTCTACTTTGAAGATGGTCAGCCGACTTCAGTTGGACGGGACTTGGAGAAAGCTGTAGGCTTTCTCTTTCTCAGCACCGCCTTATCGTTTTAGACAAAGATGGCTATGTATGCGAGGATCCAAAGCGAGCTCCGGAAAACGCTTCAGAAGAAAGACTAGCCGTCAAAAATCGTCAAAATTGTATCTTTTCGCTAGCTGTGATATAACTGTATCAATGCATGCCATTTTTGTGTGATTCGTTCCCAAAGTTGTGATATGTTCTGCACCCGCCCATTTTTTAATGACGCTGATGAAGTGAGTTATGATAAAGGATTGCTCTGTGTTTTCTATAATAATGCGAAAGGTGCTTGACCGACAAGATTATCCATTTAATAGAATTATCATTATTTTTATAGGCCTTTGCTTTAGAATGGTAAACGTAAAAAAAGGCGTGATGATCACGTGCGACCCGGCGATGCAAAAGCTGCTCGTCCATCTCGATGAGACGCGAGCGCTCGGCAGCCAATTCATTGTAAAGGTGATTTGTACAGATTTTAGCGGGCGTAGGTCTTGTTGCTTTTTCTCGCTGTTTGGCTAGTGAACGACAGGCTTCATATGCTCTAATTTGGGCCGTTCATTATATTTTTTTTTTCAGGAGCTCGACGAGACACACCTGATCGTCGACAAGGACATCGTCCCTACGATTGAGGCCAAGATTGACGAGCTGATGGAGCAAATGAACCCCGAGGCCACCGAGAAATAACGCCACCCTTTCCCTTAACCATTCTAAGGTGTATATTCCCCCCATTTTGTAGTATCATCGGGTAAGTTGTGATCTTCCCTTTTGTGGAATTCCGGAATAAAATGTCACAGACTATGAATGACGAGACAATCAACTTCGATGGCAGCTTCGCTGGCGTCAGGCGCTTCGCGGACCTGTGGTATCCCATTGGAACTCAACACTGAAAATCGGCTTCTATAATTCAATTCTGTGTCTGCCACACAAAATCGCACGATCGTGTTTCCATACAGGTGATTGCATCATGCCGGAAGTATCGTCAATTAGCATGTCAGGTCACATATAAAACGTAATATCGGCTTCACAATTTCTACATCAAATTATTCTCACCGGTAAACGTAAGTTGTGGAACGATTCTCCATTATTATCATTCTTATTATTTTAGCGCAAGGATGCCGAAGCAGAAGGTGATCGACCAGCCCAAGGCGAAAGAGAAGAAGAAGATTGATCCGAAGGCGGGGACCAACGACGACAAGAAGCTGAAACCGAAGAGCCAGAAAGAGTCAAAGAAGCCGGCGACGAAGGCCCAAGGATCGAACACGGAGCACAAGGACCCGGAGAAATTGAAGGGCACCCAGCTGAAGTCCGGCTCCTGGGCTGCGGCCGAGGTAGTGCTGTGGAGTATTATCCTAGGTGTTTACCTGATTTTTGGCATGGCTTATTTCGCCTAGCAATTAGCACAACGCCTTTTTGTGAAGTTTTTAGGGTTGGTTGAGGTCACAAGCATAGAAACTTTGAAACTTTCAAAATTTTGTCATTTTAGATAGAAATGCTAGCTTTCCAAAAAGCTCGCAACTTTTCATTCAATTTAGTTCTAACCCATATTTTATATCCGAAATCATACCGGCCGCGAACTGCATTGACAATTTGACAATTCCAGGCTTGGGCTAAGCTCGTGCCTCTGTGGGACGATAACCGCCGCCGGGATTTGCTCCTGGACAATGAGGTAAATCAACATTGGGCGATGATAAATATATTTCTGCAGTGCGCCGCGTGTCACGCCGAGGGGGATGACGTCCGCCCACGCCTGGACACCTTCTTGTGCAGCACTTGTTCGTCCCGCGCCCAGTAGGACCATTCGATCGGTACATAGTGAATTGCTTCAATCTCAGACGCGCCAAGCGCTACATCACCGAAGAGCGGGACCACACCATGCATTGTGTGGTCTTTCGTCAGCTGCAGAAGAAGGGGTCGGTGTTTTCCGTACATTATGAACAAAAGGGCGCTCGAATGTTTATACATTTCAATTTACAGGAATGCTGACCCGCTCACCCTCTTCTCCGCCGCTGGTAGGCACAATGGGTCTTCGAAAAAAAAACTCGAATTTAGGGCGTTCCTGCCCCGTCTGCTGGGCTCTTCACTACGGCCTCTCCCTCGAATAGCCGCCTGAACGACCTGAACGACCTGAACTACGGCCTGAACGACCCAACGACTTCTCCCTCCGCCACCCCGCTACTTCAGAAAACCGAACCATCAATCACACATTTCCCGCATTATCATGTCGAAATGTGACATGTACACGGCTGTACATTTTAATTTACTGTGGTATGTACTGTACGGTGTATTTACTATGTGTATTGGCGTAATAAATGTATTCTTATGTTGCTATTAGGACTGACGCGTACACATCATCCCGAAAATCCGCGGTGAAGGGCTACTCGGTTTGGAAAGGGCGGACCGTTGCGCGGCTCTCGGGATTGCGCGGGCCTGAGGGCGGCTCTCGGCCAATGCGCGGCCCGCCTGCCACTAATTGCGCGGGTCTGCCCTTTACCCCGCGCAACGGTCCGCCCTTTCCAAACGGAGTACGCAACAAACGACCGGCCGGCCGGCCGCTATCGACGGAAAAATTTATCGGCAAAAACTTTGACATTTTCTCCAAAGTATTAATAGTTTTTCCTTCGTGGCAAAGCTTTTGATCTTTTCCAAACAATCCATTTTCTTGCAGGGGGCCGCAATATGGACGGGACCGACGCCAAAGCGGTATTTATATCCAAATCAAGACAATAATATTTATATCAAAATAACAATTTGAAACAATATTTATATCCATACTGTCTTCCCGCCCATCCACATGGCGACTGAAAAATATAAGCCCGCGCCCGAGCCTTTTTCATCAAAAAAGCAAATTTGAAAATCAGAAAACGCAAAGACTATAGAAAATGTGATTTTGAGTCGTTGTAAGCGCCCTCTATGTCAAAAGCCCGTCAACTATTGCAGCCGTTTTCTCAGCAAAATCTTGTAAAACAAAAAGCGTTCCATCCAAATTAAGGCTTCTCTCGTCGATGTCACTAGGATTTTGACGGATTTGGGCTTCGAAATGTCTAGCAAAAATGAAGAGGCCACTTTTCCGCACCGAGAAATTTTTAATTTGCAAAAATTATGTCTAGATCGAGACTTTAATCAATTTTTATGAAAACAACCAGCGCTCAAAAACCCGCTTCGCGGGCTTGAGCGCTGGAATGCGGCCCTTGCATGAGAAATTCCCTTTCCGTTAGCTTGGGTTCTTCGGACCCCCCCCCCCCTCACCGACCACACACGCGAGTGCAACTTGCCAGAATGAGGAAATTTCTATTTTTTCACATTATGCAAATTAGCCTTCAGGGACACCCAAAAATGAATAGAGCCGGCTTTAACTTTGCAAACTTGCATTTTATCGAAATTCTGAGAATGTCATCGGCAACAAGAGGGTCGATTAGGGTTGTTATATGAGTTGACTTGAATGCAAGTTAACTTGCCAAAAATTATGCAAACTGCGACTTGCCTTCGAGTTTACTTGAATGATTTGAGCTCATTTTCGTGCAAGTTATTTTCAGACAAGTAAACTTGGGATGCAAACTCAACTCGATGGCAAAATAACTTGCCAAGTTTTGACTCGAGTGCTGGCAAGTTTTTTGGTGGCAAGTCAACTTGCCATGCAAACTCAGTTTGATGGCAAGTTAACTTGCCTGCAAAATAACTTGCCGGAAGTCGCGTGATGTTAATCTATGCAAAATCGAAATCGTAAGATTTCCCAGACAAGGATCCTGGCGGAAAATGCCGACAGTGTCCATAAATACCGTGTCTAAAAGACCGAAATACCGACAGATGCTTTAACAAGGCACCGCGCGAAGAAAAACCTCTCAAAAGAAAAAAATAATACCGAACGACTACGGAATTCTGACCATCTGGCGAAATAGTGAAAATGCCGACAATTAGCCAAACTTAAACATCGATAATGCCGTGTTCCTGGTAGATCGAGAACTTTAACAATTTTTCCATTTACGACACGTTTATGTGGGATTAATGTGGTTTTCGGTATTTCGGCCTTTTGGACCCGGTATTAATGGACACTGTCGGCATTTTCCACCAGGATCCATGTCTGGCAATTGCCATACTGTCTATTTCAGCTTACAATTTCGATTTTGCATAAATTAACATCACGCGACTTCCGACAAGTTATTTTGCAGGCAAGTTAACTTGCCATCAAACTGAGTTTGCATGGCAAGTTGACTTGCCACCAAAAAAACTTGCCAGCATTCGAGTCAAAACTTGGCAAGTTATTTTGCCATCGAGTTGAGTTTGCATCCCAAGTTTACTTGCCAACAAAATAGCTTGGCCGGATCAAGTAAAGTTCCTGGCAAACAAACTTGCATGCAAGTCAACTCATATAACAACCCTAGGGTCGATTCCCCGAAGTGACGGAGAATTGGGGCGTTTGGGAGACGGGAAGGCCCTCAAATCGTGCTTCGAAGCTGACATCCACGCACACACAAAAGATACACGCGAAAATTATATAAGGTAGGATTGGCAGAAACCGACCCGAAAATGACCATTTTTCGAAAAATTTACCCGAAAATCGGCATGTTACTTGCGAAAACATAGCCAAAAGTGAGTAACGGCATTTCCCGAAAATTTTTTTGGCGATAACGGCTTTGTTTTACAATATTTTGATGAGAAGTTTCGGCTGCACATAGTTTTTATGCGCCTCCATCACTCGTGAAAATTTGATCTCGATGACGGCCAAATGCCAAGGGGCGGGTTATTTTTTGGGGAGATTTTTAGCGATTTCTAATGACGGTCTTGCAGGTTGCTGCCGACTACGGGGGGCACGATCCGCCTCCTTCTTGCTGAAGACTGGGTCGCCAAGCGACAAAACACTGCGAGGCTCTATGTCTTACTCCAAAAGAAGGTAGGTTTGGGAAACTCTCATCAGATTTACAAAAAAAAATATACTTTCATTGGTGATTATAGTGCCAAGTCGCCAGCGAATTGGACGGGGCGTACCTGGCCTACAGCGCGGCACTAACAAAGTTTGGTTGCAAGACGGGAATTTGGGCCATTAAGAACAAAGCCCCAAAGCAGGTAAGGGCCTTATTTCACCTCCAATACGTTTTCATTAGATGCCCGAGTTCATCAGCGCCGTGCAACCCGAGTTGGCCGCCGCCGCGCCACCAGCCGAACAGCCCCCACCCACTTCACCAGAGGTAGGCTTCATTTTGCTACTCCGTGTTATCGGCGCCGAATATCTCTCTCTCTCTCTCTCTCTCTCTCTCTCTCTCTCTCTACCCCACTCTATTTCTCGATCTATCTCGCTAGCACAACCTACCAAACGGGTGAAAAGCTGGTCAAATCGCGGAAAATTGGCGCCAGCTGAAAGAACGGCAAAAAAATCGATAAGGGTTTGTCGTTAATGCTGGAGAGTTATTATTCGTGGGGCTAAACTGGACATTTTTTGGCAAACATCCAAAAGTTTTTTCGACCAAAAGTTACCGAATCTCGGCCACAATTTCGCATATTTTTCCCCGTGTGACATAATCATGACCGGGGTTAATCAATAGTTCAAAATTTCTTCGAAAACCGATGTTTTTCATATATCATCGAACGTTTGTAAATCTTAGGAATAGGGAAAAATTATCCAAATTACTAGATTCCAGGGGAAAAAATTCGGGTTCAAGCCTTTGGAAGAGGTAAACTGGCCGAATTTCAGGACAAGCCGGAGCTCTGCAAGGAAAACGAGACGGGCCAGGGCTCCACCATTGTTCAGCCTTTATCTCCACGTTCGCTGCCCACCCTCAATAGCAGCACAGATTTCCTACCGGTAGATTTTCTTTTTCTTTCTTCTCTCTGTCCCACTCTCTGTCACTCTCTTTCTCTTTCTCTATCTCGCTATCGCTAGTAAAACGATCTTTTTTCAGCTTTGGGCTTCAACACCCGGCGGCCAAGACGACCTGGCGTGCCCCCTTGCCCTCGAGACCCTCGTCGCCTACCAAAAGAAAGAGGCGAAGGAGCACCTGGACCGAGTGGTTGGTGCAACACTTGCTAGTTTTTTCGCATTATCAGGGAGGACCAATTTTTTTCTGAGGACCCTTTTCCAAGGCTACATTTTGCCACTCCGTGTTATCGACGCCGAATCTCTCTCTCTCTCTCTCTCTCTCTCTCTCTCTCACGCTCTCGCCCTCTCATATTCATCTCCAGGAATACGCGGCCGATACGAAGGTCGGGCCGACGACGGACGAGACGGGCGCCATCAAGACATCCCAGGAGGAGATGGGTTGCAAAAGCATCACCTGTCGCGTCGTCTACAACGAGGGCGACAAGTACGCTGGAAAGAACGAGCCGGCTGCCGTCATCGACATCTCCGATGAGGTAGATACTGACTGGAGCTATTTAAAGCAAGGTTTCCCGCACTATCTCGCTCTCTTCTCTCTCTCTCTCTCTCTCTCTCTCTCTCTCTCTCTGTCTCTCGTCCCCTTTTTCTTCTTCCGCTCTTCTGCTTACCTAACTTGTAAGCACGCTAGCAGCGATTTTTTGGTAGAGATAAAATTTTTGTTTCAGGCGCACTTTCCACCGCCCGCAGCTCTTCCATACTCCGTTGGTCGTCCGGTTGGTCTCTCTCTCGCTCTCTCGCTCTCTCTCTCACGCTCTCTCTCTCTCTATCTCTCTCGCTCCTCTCCCGCTTTAAAATTGTATTTTTTTTCAGCGCAACCCCGCCTCGACAGCGTCGACATGCTCTCGTCCTCCAGCGCCACGAGCATCGCCTCCTTCGTTTCCGTCAAGTTCGTATTTTCCTGCAATTTTTTGTAGCAGTAGCTCCAGATTGTCATCCAGAGCTGCCTTGAAAACGCGCCAATTTTCAGGAAACGGCCTCGAAAACGGGCCGACCCGGGCTGTATTCGGAAGGCTACTGCGCCCGATGCACCCCTGATGCCGGACTGAAGGACGTGCGATGCGAGTAACGAGCGGCCGTTTGTAAGGGATGCGTACGTGCCCTGAAGTGAGTTTTTGAAATCATCCCACAATGGAACCGTCGTTCTCAGGAAAGCCCTCGAGAAGTTCAACGGCTCCCATCGTAAATGCACCTGCCAAAGCAAAGGTAAATTTTATCGACAAGCCCTTCGACCGATGACATTTTAGACAGGTGTACTGTGTGCACATGGCGCTGCTGGCAAGGGTTGGGCTACGAGGACCTCGATGAGCGAGCGGGTTGAGGCGATGAGCGAGAGGACAACAAGGATTCCGGCGGCTACAACGAGACCAACGACAAAGACCACCCTCTTCTCCTCATTTGCCACATCAAATTCCTCTTTTCCGGTTCTACGAAATAAAGCGGTTTTTTTATGTTATTGCAGCGTACTATCGCGAGACGTAGGCGAGGGTTGTAGAAATTACTGCATGACAACAATTTAGCGCCGTTTACATGCCTCGCCGCCACCCGGGTGGGCCCACCAAAGTGCGCAATCGTTGGGCGAATGGTGGGTGCGAGAGGGTGGGTGCTTTTCCTGGTCCTGATTTTCTCCATTTGCAATTAGATCTCGTACTAAAGTGGAACTTTGAGAGAGAGAGAGAGAGAGAAGGAGAGCGAGAGAGAGGGAGCGAGAGGGATCGAGAGAGAGAGCGAGAGAGAGGGAGCGAGAGCGAGCGAGATCGAGAGAGAGCGAGAGAGGGCGGGAAAGAGCGAGAGAGATAGATAGATAGAGATAGAGAGAGAGAGAGTTAGAGCGAGAGAGAGCGAGAGAGCGAGAGAGAGCGAGAGAGAGAGGGCGGGAGAGAGAGAGAGAGAGAGAGAGAGAGAGAGAGAGAGAGAGAGAGAGAGAGAGAGAGTGGAAGTTGCACCGGCACCAACAGTCTTGGCCTAGGCAAGGTAAATCTAGAGCCGTAGCCAAGGCCCAGAGTCAAATAAAACAGTATGCACAAAAACGGATGGTGTGTTTTCCTGTTTTGCTGTGGACAGGGAGAATAAAAATTTATCAAGCTTTGACTACAGTTCTCTTGCGGCGATTTATTTTTCCGATTTGCCATAGCCGCCTCCACCCGGGGATAGCAGCTCCAGTTCGTCCTGAAATTCGAGATCCCGTCATATTTTCTTGTACAGCATACCCCAGCCTGCACATCAATCGTGATCTTCGAGCCGACGTTCAGCACGCGGCCCTTCCAATGCAGCAAATTCTGTCCACGACGTCCCGGCTCCCCGCCGAAGAGGCCATAGGGGGCAAAGGTTCTGGAAGGTCGATAAGGCGGAGATAACTTGGTTCTGGGGGCATTTTTTAACCCATCGAATCACAACTGCCCGAATTGCATCCCATCGAATTGCATCCCATCGAATTACATCCCATCGAAATTACGACTCATCGAAATTACGACTCATCGAATTACGACTCATCGAAATTACAACTCCTCGAAATATCGGTTTTTTGTCAACCAAATTTTTTTCGGTCCAAGCCTAAATTTTTTTATGAATAGCGGATGCGTTTCTCAATGGTTTTTAACTATTTCTAAGCATAAAAACTATACAGATTTTTATTAAAAATTTAATTTTAAGTTGAGAAACGGATTTTTTTCGGCCAAGAATGACTAAAATTGGACCGGGCAAAAATTAGTATTTTTTGAAAATTCGCTTAGCTGACATTTCTATGGGTCGTAATTTCGATGAGTCGTAATTTCGATGAGTCGTAATTTCGATGAGTCGTAATTTCGCTGAGTCGTAATTCGATGAGTCGTAATTTCGATGAGTCGTAATTTCGATGGGATGTAATTTGATGGGATGCAATTCGATTAGATGTAATTCGATGGGATGATAGCAAATCGGTTCTGGGCTGTTTGCGAGGGGAACCAAATTTTTCCCTGTGATTCACTACGGCCCTTTAGCAAAATATAAACCATTTTAAGTAGCATTTTACATGGTTTTAGACATAAAGCAACATAACAAAAAAATAGTAAAAGTTTTCCAAATTATTTTTGGTCGAAAATGTATGACAAATGACCAAAGAAGCTGAAAATTTTCGAATTTACAAACAAAAAAAAATTTTTTAAGGACTTTCTAGCAATCAAAAACTACCAAATATACACTATAAAAATACATAATATATCATCAATAGGTGGAAACAGAAGCCGTTTCCCCCACCCCTGCTAAACCCCCCCCCCCCCCCCCCCCGCTAACACTCACGAACCGATAAGTTTTGTTTACCTCCTCTCGGTCAGCAGGGATAGTTGAAGCTCCTTGCGGAAGAGGAGCCTTCTGATGACACCGTCACCTCCGCGGTACTTACCCCGACCGCCAGACTCGAGGCGCAACCCGAATTCCCGGAGGATGATCGGGTATCTGCAAAGGTATGGCTCAAAACTGTCAAAAAGTACAGATGTTTCCAAGTTACCTCGTTTCGAGTATCTCTGGATCCGTAATCCTGGTGTTTGTCATATGCGTGTGGACACCGCTCCTCCCATCGAACCCTTCGCCCGCCCCGGCCCCTCCAGCGATCGTCTCGTAGTACCCGAACTCGTTGTCGCCGAACGTCACGTTGTTCATGCAGCCTGAAGTAGTTGGTGATTCGAAAGTAATTCCCGCCCTTGCTTTCCCTTCGGTTTTTATCACTTTTTAGAAGCTGTGGTTGCAATAAAAAAAAACTGAGACAGACAAAAGCGAAACCCATCATTAAAAAACAAAAATTTCAACATGGATCTCTCTCCGTTACCTTGACTCGCCGCAACGGCATGGAACGCCTTGAAGACGACGTCACAGATTCGTTGGCTTGTCAACACATTTCCCGCCACGACCGGAGCATTCTCCGACGGGGATAGGATTGTGTTGGGCGGGATCACAATCTGGAAAGTTTTTCATGATTTTAGGGACCGGAAGACAATGACCATGATAATGAGAGTATACTATGAGTCCCACAAAACATCCCCCGTCTGACTCGACGAAGCAGTATCGGATCGGAACGATAGTTGCGCCATTCAAAAGCCCTCAAAACGGTGAGTTCGCAACACTCTTCAAAACCATGTTTAGTTAAGGACGCTATTTTAAAAGCCGATTTGTAAGATATTACCGTTTTTCGGGGTAGCATATACAAATTGGGTCCAATGACTGGAGGTAACCGGTAATGAGATGCGCCATCGGAAATCCTTACCTTCACCGGCACCAAGCACCCATTATTCAATGGAATGTCCCGATCGACCAGACAGCGCAAACAGTACGTGATGGCCGACAGGGTGACTAGGTAATTTGGCTTAGTTCGTAGTCTGGAGTTCTACCTGCATTCGGCGCATTCGTCGACCACAAGCACTCTGGGCCGGTGCCGTCGAAATCGAACACGGCTTCGCCCTGAAAAGCATGGCAAATGACTTGGTAGACGGCCCCCGAAATGGTTTTCAGGGGGAAAACCGTCCAGCGGATTTGGATGGCAGATTCAGAGAGAGTAGCTTTGGAAGAATGACTAGCAAAGTTCCTTGAGCCCACCTTTTCCTTGTCGATCACCACCGTCAGCTTCAGTATCGTGCCATCATCCATAAAATCTTCTGACGACAACCTGGTGCTTCCGGTCTCATCGTACACTTTTTGGCCGACCTAGTAATGCGGAAATTTACGTAAAAATTTTACTACGTCACATTCGCCATACATACGCGCGCTTATCCGATTATCATACCTTTTTCAACAATTCCCTGACGCTCTCCTCGGCCGTTTTTTGTATGTGCTGCATGTAAGCTTGGACGACCTGTAAGGTATTATAAAAAGCTAAGCAACGAAGCTTAAGCTAAAGCTAAGTCAAGCCGAATCCAGGCCTAAGCCAGACCGAAGCCAGGCCTAAACCGGCCCTAAGCCAAGCCTAACCCAAGCCTAAGCCAAGGCTAACAAGGAGTCGCTTTTAAGTGCTTTTGGAGTTTCTGGACGGGACCTAGCTAGTTCGATAGAGAAAAAAATTTTGAGCAACATACCGTTTTCAAAAAGTGCTGATCGATAAAGAAATTCTAGAAAATTTAATTTAAAGTTCGGGATTTTTTTCTAGTTTTCGGGTCCATTTTCTCGGTTCGCGTCGTTGTCGGGGCGTGGCCGGGCACCATTCATAACCCCCCGCCAAGGCGCC